CCGTCACTGACGTTATATGCCCTCAAGGGACTTGGAACAACTATTATAAAATAAACTGTGTTTCTCTAACAAAGAAAAGTTATACTAAAGAGGAAACTGTCGAAACTTATTTCCATATAAACGTTTTAATTTAATTTTGTATTTAACTCACTAAAACCTTGTGAAATAACCAGAAAAATATGGCCGTAGCAGAAGAGTTAAGAATAGGCTTGATAAATATTTGAATGATAAGGGCTGGGTTTGAGTTTTTTAATGTTTAGTTTACTTTAGTGGATAGGATGGCCTTGATGAACCAAAAGGCCCAATGTTGTCCTTTAATGTTATGTCACATGTTAATTTTTCACCCACAAGAAACACCAGTGTACAGGCAGTAACCTACTCCAGAAACTAAGATTATACTCTATGGTTAAGTTGATCAGCTGTACTGAAAATATGAAAGTCTTAACAGTTTTCATCAATATAACACACAATCACTAGTCAATAACCTGGTCCAGAAACTGGAAACTTGAATTTAAACTTTAGGGTAACAATTATTACTTAATCTTACTGAAAATATTAACAGTGTTCATCAAACTAAACTTTACCTTTTCCATAGAGAATAGCTGTCAACAGTTTAACTGTAGCACTGTTAGTGTTAACACAACTTCGTTTTTTTACGTTGGTTAAATACAATAAAATAAAGTCTTTCTCTTTTCTGACTAGACCTAAAGAGTAAAAGAAAGTAGTGAAAAAATAAATGCATTACATTATACCTCTATGCATATATCACTCAAATGTAAACCAATCAATTCTTTTTTCAAAGTTCTGACTATTCAAATTAATATTAACTTCTGATCATAGCAAGCTATCTACTTAGAGGAAAACAAAATTAAATTATTAATGAATATAGATAATTGAGTATATTTTTCTTACATTCTTATTTATAAAGATTAAATAGAACGAATTATTTCATCAGCTGGGTAACCCTGTGGTTAGTGTTAACAACTTAATCCTTAGGCCTTAAACTTACAACGACGTTTGCCCATCGTAGCATTAGATGTAAGCAAGGCCTAAGACGATACAACATACAAGTACAAAATAATTTTAAATATAAGTAAAACAATAAAATCAGATATTTTACACATTCTAAACAATCCTATTAATGGAAGTAATATAATAGAAATAATACAGTATTGACAAAATATTATTCATGAACATCTAGTAAACTACAATAATATTAATACCCAACCATTACAGTTTATACTCTTCGTAAAGCTTCCATCAGCGCAAGTGTGCTGGACGGCAGAGAAAAACAAAAGGCTTGACAAAAGTACTCAATTTATTGTTTTTTTATATTTATTTATTACTTAGTGCTATAAAAGTAACTACACTGTAATTTAGAAATTTATGTTAAGTAATAAAATAGAAATTAAATACACAAATACAAATTCTGAGTGACGTCTTCACGCGACATGCTCGTGGACTACGTAATTTGAGTTGCGCGGTTGACGCGCAATTTGTCTTGTACGAAGGATTAGTACCAAAACATGGTTCAAAGAGAAATAAAATAAAATAGATGTGAAAAGGATAGATGATTGAACATTTTAGAATAAACAATTGTAATTGTCTCTTAAAACCTGTAGTCATTCTACAAAGAAAAAGAGTGGTAACTTAGATTTATTTCGTATTTTTTGTGGTGTTTACAAAGTACGTCAAAAGAACTGATTCCGTAAACGTTAAAGGGTTGAGAAAATAACAGACAAAATACTGTGTGAAGATGTACATTAAGTGCTGGACCAGTCTGACTCTGAATAGTCTGAGTGCTAGGTGCTTTTTCTGTTAATATTAACAAACTTTTATTATTTAACAGGCTTCTGATTTAATTTGTATAACCTTCTAAATTAATATCCAAGTTTTTCTTTAAAACAGGATCATTCCTGGTGGAACATGATCCTTTCAGGTTTTAAGAGTACTTAATGTACATCTTCA